CCCCCCCAGGAAGCAGAGGTCCCTGAGCATGCCCGGCCCCAGCCCTCCCCACCCCAGTGTCCTCATCCGCGGCCTGGAGGTGAGCAGCCAGGAGGTGGTGGACCGCACCTGCTCGCCCCGGGAGCACGTCATGGTGGTGAGGAGCAGTGCCCAGAGAGCCGACGCACCGTGGGGGGGCACGCCAAGCACTGAGCGGAAACGCCGTCTGGGGTGAGTTGCTCTGCCGGGGAGGGGTTTGTACCAGCCCCAAGCTCTGCACTGCCCAACACACACTGCGATCCACTGCCCCATCTGAGAGCAGTGCACCCCATAGGTCTGGGCACTGCCCAACGCACACTGCAATCCACTGCCCCATCTGAGAGCAGTGCACCCCATAGGTCTGGGCACTGCCCAACGCACACTGCAATCCACTGCCCCATCTGAGAGCAGTGCACCCCATAGGTCTGGGCACTGCCCAACGCACACTGCAATCCACTGCCCCATCTGAGAGCAGTGCACCCCATGGATCTGGGCACTGCCCGAGACACACTGCAATCCACTGCCCAGTCTGGAGAGCAGTGCGCCCCTCAGGTCTGGGCACTGCCCGACACACACTGCGATCCACTGCCCCATCTGAGAGCAGTGCACCCCATGGATCTGGGCAGTGCCCGAGACACACTGCGATCCACTGCCCCATCTGAGAGCAGTGCACCCCATGGATCTGGGCAGTGCCCGAGACACACTGCGATCCACTGCCCCATCTGAGAGCAGTGCACCCCATGGATCTGGGCAGTGCCCGAGACACACTGCGATCCACTGCCCCATCTGAGAGCAGTGCACCCCATGGATCTGGGCAGTGCCCGAGACACACTGCGATCCACTGCCCCATCTGAGAGCAGTGCACCCCATGGATCTGGGCAGTGCCCGAGACACACTGCGATCCACTGCCCCATCTGAGAGCAGTGCACCCCATGGATCTGGGCAGTGCCCGAGACACACTGCGATCCACTGCCCCATCTGAGAGCAGTGCACCCCATGGATCTGGGCAGTGCCCGAGACACACTGCGATCCACTGCCCCATCTGAGAGCAGTGCACCCCATGGATCTGGGCAGTGCCCGAGACACACTGCGATCCACTGCCCCATCTGAGAGCAGTGCACCCCATGGATCTGGGCAGTGCCCGAGACACACTGCGATCCACTGCCCCATCTGAGAGCAGTGCACCCCATGGATCTGGGCAGTGCCCGAGACACACTGCGATCCACTGCCCCATCTGAGAGCAGTGCACCCCATGGATCTGGGCAGTGCCCGAGACACACTGCGATCCACTGCCCCATCTGAGAGCAGTGCACCCCATGGATCTGGGCAGTGCCCGAGACACACTGCGATCCACTGCCCCATCTGAGAGCAGTGCACCCCATGGATCTGGGCAGTGCCCGAGACACACTGCGATCCACTGCCCCATCTGAGAGCAGTGCACCCCATGGATCTGGGCAGTGCCCGAGACACACTGCGATCCACTGCCCCATCTGAGAGCAGTGCACCCCATGGATCTGGGCAGTGCCCGAGACACACTGCGATCCACTGCCCCATCTGAGAGCAGTGCACCCCATGGATCTGGGCAGTGCCCGAGACACACTGCGATCCACTGCCCCATCTGAGAGCAGTGCACCCCATGGATCTGGGCAGTGCCCGAGACACACTGCGATCCACTGCCCCATCTGAGAGCAGTGCACCCCATGGATCTGGGCAGTGCCCGAGACACACTGCGATCCACTGCCCCATCTGAGAGCAGTGCACCCCATGGATCTGGGCAGTGCCCGAGACACACTGCGATCCACTGCCCCATCTGAGAGCAGTGCACCCCATGGATCTGGGCAGTGCCCGAGACACACTGCGATCCACTGCCCCATCTGAGAGCAGTGCACCCCATGGATCTGGGCAGTGCCCGAGACACACTGCGATCCACTGCCCCATCTGAGAGCAGTGCACCCCATGGATCTGGGCAGTGCCCGAGACACACTGCGATCCACTGCCCCATCTGAGAGCAGTGCACCCCATGGATCTGGGCAGTGCCCGAGACACACTGCGATCCACTGCCCCATCTGAGAGCAGTGCACCCCATGGATCTGGGCAGTGCCCGAGACACACTGCGATCCACTGCCCCATCTGAGAGCAGTGCACCCCATGGATCTGGGCAGTGCCCGAGACACACTGCGATCCACTGCCCCATCTGAGAGCAGTGCACCCCATGGATCTGGGCAGTGCCCGAGACACACTGCGATCCACTGCCCCATCTGAGAGCAGTGCACCCCATGGATCTGGGCAGTGCCCGAGACACACTGCGATCCACTGCCCCATCTGAGAGCAGTGCACCCCATGGATCTGGGCAGTGCCCGAGACACACTGCGATCCACTGCCCCATCTGAGAGCAGTGCGCCCCATATGTCTGGGCAGTGCCCGACACACACTGAGATCCACTGCCCCATCTGAGAGCAGTGCACCCCATGGATCTGGGCACTGCCCAACGCACACTGCGATCCACTGCCCCATCTGAGAGCAGTGCACCCCATCACCCCATGGATCTGGGCAGTGCCCGAGACACACTGCGATCCACTGCCCCATCTGAGAGCAGTGCGCCCCATATGTCTGGGCAGTGCCCGACACACACTGAGATCCACTGCCCCATCTGAGAGCAGTGCACCCCATGGATCTGGGCACTGCCCAACGCACACTGCGATCCACTGCCCCATCTGAGAGCAGTGCACCCCATAGGTCTGGGCACTGCCCAATGCACACTGCAATCCACTGCCCCATCTGAGAGCAGTGCACCCCATAGGTCTGGGCACTGCCCAACACACACTGCGATCCACTGCCCCGCTGGAGAGCAGTGTGCCCAGGCACTTCCTGTTTGTGCCCTTGGAGTGGAGGACCCATTGGCAGGGCATGGTGCCCATCAGTGTCAAGAGGGCCAATGGCTGCCTAGTGGCCTGGGTGACCCAAGTGTGGGGGTGCATCAGCATCCAGTGGGGAGGGCCCAGGGCTCATGGCCATCCCCTCTCCTGCCAGCGCCCAGCAGCAGCTGGTGACGGACCTGATTGCTGCAGAGCAGGGGGAC